TAAGCCCAGGCAAGCTTTAAATCTCCAGTCTACCATGTTCACTTTCGACTATAGAAGCTTAACTTACACTGGTCAGAGATTTCCCCTGAAGAATTCACCCGGTGTAAAGGGAATCTCTGCTGGCATAAAGCTGGCAAATACTCAGGGACATCCCTGAGAATTAGGGAGCTGTGACTGGTTTCTGAGAGCCTATCCTCTCCAGTGTACCTGGGCAGAGCTGTTGCCTCTGGACTGAGAGGAAAGTTTGGTGTTCCAGGTCCACCCCTATCTGCTTTTCCAAAAAAGGGAAACAGCAAGCAAAACTGGAAGTAATCCTCTCCCCACATGTGACCCTAAGAGCATCCCAATGTCAGATGGCCAGGAGCTCCCTGGCATGTTGCAGTGAGTTCCAGCTGTCCTGACCAATCCAGTGGACTCTAGTTCACTATTGTCATAATCTGTATGTAAAAGGGGTCATGTAAAATATCATTGGAAAACTAATAACTCATTGAAATTATGCTTCTTAAAATGTATTTGAAAAGCCATGCATAAGCCCAGTCTGACCTAGACAAAGCATTTGGATTAGTTTGCTTGACCAGCCTGCTTGTCAGGCAGAGAGAGTGAAAGTACATTTATATAAAAGGTAAACAAATCCATCAAGCTAACAAAGGGAGGAGGTAACGACTCAAGTATCACCAGCGGATAAGGAACCAACGTGAAGTCTTCATCAGATTTCATGGCATCTCTTCCCAGAAGGAGAAAAAAAACTTTATTTAAGAACACATTTCAATGACATACTGGACTATAAAGACAGGGTGTCTGAATCTCAAATGATAAGTAATTGAATCAATTGATTGTGTACTGTATAACTGTATTACAATAGGGTATCAAGTAAGGTCTTTTATGAAAGCTAATGACACACTAGTGATAATGTCATTGTGAAATGTATGTATTAACACTATATGAGTAATTATGGATACTCATTGATATTATGCTTTAAAGTCTGTGACCAATCAAAGGGAGAAAAAGGTTTTCTCCCAGAGTAGAGGGAAGGCAGTTAGCTATCTGTCTTCAATTAAATTAAGCCAGGTGTGATCAAAATAATGGAATTCCCATTTATATACGAATTGGCAGGGGGGTGGGAAGTCCACAGGAAGGGAAGAATAACTTGAGGTCATCTTGAGTCGGGGCGGGGGGGGGGAACTGAGTTTGGGAAGATATAAGGAGAAAGAAGATGCCATCCTGGCATCCATCACTGGACAGACACAAGGCGCTGGAGCTCTTGAAAGCTGAGAAAGAAGGGCCCTTCAATCAAGGGGGCTGAAGTTTCTGGGAACTGAATATAGGTGGGAAACATACTTAGGCAAAGATCTTTCACCTAGGAAGACAAGAGAAACTGGCACCTTGTACTTCTGTGGAAGTTCCTAACTGAGAGAAAGTCAGCCATAGCTGGGAAGGAGAAAGATTGGTAAGAAATCTACTTTGAACCAAGGCTATAGCTTGTTAAATCTTAGCCACTAGAAAGCATACTTTACATTTATTTGCTTGTAACCATCTTGCACTTGAACTCACTTAAAACCTCTCTTTTCTTGATAAACTTGTTTTACTTTTAAATCTATACTAACCCAGTGCTGTGTTTGAATGTAAGTGCTGTTAACTCCAATTAAGGCAACGAGTTGCTGTGCTTTCGTCCCTTAAAGGAGCAACAGACCTTATTACTCCTCTGAATGTTTCAGAAAATGGCTGGGCATTTCAGGGCCGATGGTTTTGGGGAAATTCAGGATTGGGGGTGGTTTGGGGTCACATGGCTAGTAGTAACCACCGCTGGTGAAGACCAGAGTGTGGCTGTAGAGTTGCTGAACCAGGGCTGCTTAACCATAGACACTCCATAAATTCTTGTATGCTGGCTGGGAGCATCCATACAGAGAGCTACAGTAGCAAAGCACTTTAAGGCACTCAAGGACAAGCAGTGACACCACCTCTCACTGGTCTGGATTGTGCCCCAAAACCCCACTTCCATGGCAGCCACTGCAGAGTTGGGAGAGTAGTGAGGTATTTCCTCATTCCTACCTTCCCCCAAGAGTACGAACAACTGCATGAGGAGCAACCAGGGGCAAAAAAGAAGAAGCAGCATAAATTTAAATGCCCTAGTACTAGTGTTCAAGGGCATTATCCAGTGCCAGGGAAAGGGCCAAGTGGTGAACTGACCCTCCTACACTAGCCTTTACCCTAGGCCCTGCTAATGAATGCAGCATTTACCCTAGGCCCTGCTAACAATGTCTCAACAGAGTCTTGCTGCTGTGTACTGCAAACAAACAAATTGTAAATCCATGTTTGGTGAGTCAAATTGCACTGGTTAGTCAAATTCCCCTACACAATGGCTTCTGTACTTAATTTCCTTGATTGCATGGGTGGCTGGTAGGATCCAGTCTCTGCTCAATGCAGCAGAGAATCACATTATAATTGTATTGTATAGTTACAATACAATAGGATTAGTTGCCCTCATGGGATTTCTTTACACCATTTCAACACACATAAATTCTTCCTTTGTAATGAATTTCAAAAAGGTCATCACTGGTTTTTTCATAAGAGAAGATTGGTCTAGTCTTTTTTGGCCGCTAGAGCACTTTAAACAAGTGTATTCTGAGCATTTTTCATTCTTAAGTTCCAGTCACTGCTCTGTCACCAAGTTCCCCTTCACTGGCTTCCAAGATATAGCAGATTGTTTTGCAATGTGAGCACCAAGAGAGTCTGTACCTTGGCCTGCAGGCGATCCATCCACTGACTGACATGTTTCATTCAGCCTTCCACAGTAGCTACTTCATTTGAAATACCTTCAACTTTATTTTCAAATAATGACAAAGGGCTGTACAGAGAGTTCATTTCTGAGTTTACTAACTAATAATGATAATGCTCTATCAAGCTATTCATCTAGGTACTTAGTATCAAAGCACTTCTTGTATTCACATAGTGCCTTTCATTTAAATAAATCCCAAAGCACTGTTCACACCTTTACCAATTTTGCATACTTCATACATACATACATGAATCATTGTCTCTCTTTAAGAGCACATGATGATACAACAACAAATATGGGCAAGAAGGTAAGTGAAACTTTAGAAATGACAGCTGAGTTCTACTAAAAAGCCCAAAGGGGTTAGGTATCTGAGTCCTGTTTAATTCCAATGGGATTTGGCCACCTAATTCCCTCTTTTGGAAATCCCAGCCAACCACTTTAATGAAACTGGAGTAGTATCTTAGAGATGCGTGGAGGCAAGCATGAGCAAATTCTGGAAATAAGAGGATACTCTGACACTTCTTAGGTTTGTCTAGACAATCAGTTGATGCACAGCAAGCTGGGGAGTAAACCTACAGCACACTAGCATGACATATGCTAATTGTCCATGTGGACCCTGCTACCATGCACTAAAAGTTCCCTAGTGCACACTGACCTGTTGCTGTTTGAAATGAAAGTAGATTAAAATGTATTAGGGAACTTTTAGTGCATGGTGGAACGGTCCACGCAGACAGTTAGCGCACAGCAGGCTAGTGCACTATAAATTTACATCCCAGCTCACTGCAAACTAACTCTTTGTCTAGCTAAGCCCTTACTTTAACAAATGCTGATGCTTCATACCCCTGTGATGAAGAGGGATAGATCAGCTGACTAAGACACAATGATGACTATGAAAAGATGTCCCAGTAACAAATGATTGGTGATTGATATAGTGTCCAACCTCTGCAATGCACCCTTAAAAGTCAAAGTCAATTTGTCAATTACATCATCATAATCCTTGCTGGGTATTAAGGTCATTTGAACTAGCAATCACTTAGCTGAATAAATGAGAGAAGGCCTGTATAGCACAGGAAGCTCAATTTGGGTTTAAGTTTCTATTGTGGAAAATCAACATGAATTTTAGCAGCATCTAAACAAGTATCTAAATATTTATAAGATGAAACATATCACAATATCATAAATTAAATTAAATTCTTACATTTAATTAAATAATTAATTAAATATTAAATTCTCAGGTACAGACAGCAATTAAAATCAACAGATTTATTATTCTACTAAAATCACACACTATTTTAATTGTACTTAAAAACAGACTAGTCAATACTTTGGTAAGATCCTGTTGTAACTCATTCATAACCAATGACAGTGAAGTATTTGTAGAATATAAAAAAGAATAACCAGCATAAAGGTGAATTAAAGTGCTACCAGATGGCTATCCTATACAGCTATTATAAATTAGAATGCCGACTGGGCCTGCAACAAATCCTTGTGGGACTCCTTTAATAATAAAGTTTGGCAGAGAAATAAATCCATCTAATTTATCACATTGTTTTATGTTGAGGCAGATTAATTACAGCAGCAACACAAGGAACCCAAGTTAGCACCAAGATGATATTTTATTTTTAGCTAAAATACCACCAGGTTCTATTCAGCTTTCCTTACTAAGGCACAACTCCCACTGACTTCAATTCAAGTTGACTTCAATGGGTGTTTTGTCTGAGTAAGGAGTGCTAAATAAGGTAGTGAATAGATCTGTATGTAGTCTTCTGGGCTTCAGCCAAAGCCCACTGACGTCAATGGAAAATCTCCCAATGTCTTCAATGGCCTTTGGATCAGACTTTTAGATCACATATAAATTATACGTTAACTGCATGTCCTTTTAAATAAGCCACTATGACATCTATGAATCTGAACGCTAAATTTGTCCTTTTCTTTTTCCTCACAAAGGATCTGAACCCTTTAAGCACCATCTGGACTGCATCTCTGTGCATTTAGACTATGTTATGCATATCTGGCCTTCAAACACAGATTGCAAACAAATCAGAAATAAACTCTATTATGGGGTATGCAGCAGACACTCATTAAGGGCCTGATCCAATGCCCTCCAAAGTCAATATGAACCGAGTGTGTTTTCTATAATAAAATTATGGAGCCTTATTGCTCTTGAGCTATTCTGTGGAATGTTTATACATACAGTAATTTTGAAATTATTACAGTCCCTTACCTCCAAGACACGCACCCATGGCCAATGAAAAGATTAGTGGTTTCACAGGCAGGTTAACATCAGGATCTTGACTCAGGTTGAGAAGCACAGGAATCTGTTATTGAAAAAAATATAAACAAAAACACACACATATATATATGGTAACACTAACCATGAACTGAGCATCAACGAAATCCATTTAATTAAACAATTGAAAATGCTACCAAGAGGTAAGATATAACATTGGTCTGTTTACAAGCATAGAATTCTCCTCTTGCCTTTCGGGGACTCCCAGTAGGAAGACCTTCCCTGCTAGAGCCTTCTTCACCAACTGAGGGCAGGTCTTCACTACGGGGGGGGGGGTGTCGATTTAAGATATGCAAATTCAGCTACGCAAATTGCGTAGCTGAATTTGACGTATCGGAGCCGACTTACCCCGCTGTGAGGACGGCGGCAAAATCGACCTCCGTGGCTCCCCGTCGATGGCGCTTACTCCCACCTCCACTGGTGGAGTAAGAGCGTCGATTCGGGGATCGATTGTCGCGTCCCAAAGAGACGCGATAATTCGATCCCCGAGAGATCGATTTCTACCCGCCGATTCAGGCGGGTAGTGTAGACCTAGCCTGAGCCTATGCCACAATTCAGACATAAGACCCCAGCAATGCTTGACTGAATTAGGGCCTAGCAGTGCAGACATTTCCTGGCCATGGTCTGAGACCTGGAGGACAGCTGACTCCTTAAAGACCCCTTAAGTGTCCCCTGTGGAGGGGAGGCAGAGGAACAGATGCAGATCCAGCACAGTAACACCCAGAAAATAGTTCTCTGCTAGGCATTCATGGCCAGATCACAGACTCTTTATGACACTCCCACTAGAGAATCCGGTCCTATATTTATAGTGTGCCATTATTGATGGGCTTTAGCCCCATTTGTTCCTAATGACCTGTTGCCACTACTGGTTGAGGCCACTGAAATCTACTAGAAACAACAAGTCACACCAGGAAAGTATATGATTCTTTATATCTTTTCTAGAGACAAACATACATTACAATGATTTAAAGTAAGAACAAAAATCTTGTAATTTTCTTAAATTAAAAGGGGGCATCCACATTTTAAAATCTTGTATAAACTATATTTAATACCTTGTTAGAAACTTGAACATATATTTTACCCCACCAGTTTTATTGTTATCTACTTATTTGACAAATTGATTTTTCTTTCAGTTAGAAATGCTGTGACTTATTCATCTTATTAAAAGTCTACTTAGTCTGTTTGTCAAAAACATCAATAGTGTCATCCTTCTGAGAACAATAGAGACAGCAGGATTGGATTGTTTACCTTTAATTCCCTCAGATGGCTGCTTTTGCAGCAAGAGAAGAAAAATATTGCAAATCATGCATTATCAATAGATATGTTTGTCTCCGTGATGGAGTGCTGTATCACATATATTTTTTTCTTTTAAAGGAACTTCAAATCCAACATATAATCATCACCAAACAATAACTGTTATAAGTCAAATTTTGGGTTTGATGTACTATAACCTTCTTCCACATATTTGAAAAGTATTTCTCCTGGGTTTAGGATTTTAATGTAGTGTACATGTATCCTTTGATAATAACCAACTCTCCACAAGCATTGCTGCATCTTGAACTTGAACTTTTAAGAACTGGATTGGAGTTGAAAGAAAAATAGTCAGTTAAAGTTCCAGAATTCCAGTTCAAAATATTTCACTGAGCCAAGGAATGCCCCAAGTTTTGTGAACTACCCCAGCTGACACACACAGAGTACAGAGTCTCATGAAAAGACTAATTCTTAATGCCCCCAAATCAATGTTGGATACAACACAACCACATTGTTTCAGTTCCATCCAAGCGTTTCCTCATTCTAATGACTCTGAGTAGTGTATGTAGAATCAAACATCTTGCACTTCAGCAGTAACTCTTGGAGGGTGTTGCAGGGGCCCCCTCTCTCATGCCTCTTCTCAAATCCACAAACAACTCAGAGACCTTTTTCTGGTAAAACACCCCGTGCAGTTTATTTACAATATTGTTTTCCACCACCTTCATACACTATATGGCCTTACATCTATAGGCCTAGGGAGCCCTCAGCTCCTGAGACAAGGAGGGAAAAGTAATCTCCCTCTCTCTTTCTGCTACCTCCCTCCCTTCCTCTTCCTTCCTTTTATATCATCTGCCTAATGGTCTGAGTAGCCTCTTAGTTCTCCTCAGCACATCCATTAGGCACAGCTCTGATAATTGGGTCTGCTCTGGAATCATTATTAAAGCTGCAGTGACCAGAGTACTGGCTCAACTGCTGTTGCCCAGCACTCTGTCACATAGGGCCTGATCCAAAGATCACTGAAGTCAATGAGAATCTTTCCATTTTCTTCACTGGCTTTTGGATCAGGCCTTTCATCATTGGATGTCTCCTCTTTTAACAATGATATTTTACACAGGAGAAGTCAGTGTATGAACTTGAATTTAAGAGCAGTGCTTCTCCATTTCTCCCATTAAATAACATTTAATGTCATTTGTAATGTAAATCTATACAATTATATATGTGCTATGCATCACTTTTGAACTCACTCTGAATGCTTAAAACGTCAGTCTCATTTACAGATGCAATTAACCCAGTGCTGCAAATAGAGACATAAAATATTAAATGGTTGGAAGGAAATGTGTCATTCTAGGCTTCAATATATTTTTTTCAGATTAGGATTACTTATAAAACTGCCTTTGAACCAAGCTGTATATATTTACAAGGGTCTGCAGCAAGTCAATTTGGTTATTACAAAGCAGGACGCATTTGGCTAAAACAAACAGTACTGCTACCTTTCCCGTATTTATTTCATGTTCTTTGGAATTCAATAATGTTTTGAAATTTTTTTAGCTACAACACAGTGCCCTTCAATAGAGGCAAAAGCCAATGTCTATTTGTGTGTCAACCATATGCCAAAGCTTATGCTCCTTTCTCCTACCCTCTAGAGGGATTATAAACAGTACAGACAACAGTAGCTATATGAGAGCAACAACTTTATATCAGAAGATTAATGTTTCTTTCTTACACTCCTTTCCTTGTTTTTATTGAGGAGAAATCTCTCCTTCACTAATTTCTAGAGAGCTTGCTAGCTTTTCTGGAAAGTTTAATGTGCTGTTGGAAGGATTTAGGGAAAGTGAAGGATGGGGTTCAGTAGAGCAAGGCCAACTTCTCTTTGCCCTTTCGCTACAGGGCTAAGTGCCTGCCTGCAGATACTGAGACAGACGGCATGTCTGTGGAAAATAATTATTGCACCTGAAAGTAAGAGGAGTGCCCTCAAACACATGTTATATTAAGGCAATCCCCTCACTATCCTTGATTCTACAAATATATAAACTGATGTGCACAGAACAATCCAGGCATCTAACAGCTTTATATAAATGACACCTTTAATTAAAATAGTGTCAGTTAAGAGTGTATTTATTTATACTGTATTATATGTTGTGGTTAGTGCATGGAATGTGTTACAAACATAAAAGTAAAGCAAATATAAAAATCTGAAGATAAACATTTTCTTCACTGCTTTTATAACACATGCTTATATTGGTATTAATTTATGTGGAGTCAATTTTATAAATGTATGAAACACACATTGGGGTTGGTACATTGGTGTAAATAAACAAAAAAAAACTGTAGGAAATACCAATGAGTGGGAATCAGCCTCAGGAAATAAATTCAGATCCAAGAAGTATGAATGATTCTACAAGATGCAGTATGTCTTCATATTCCTCTCAGCTCTGTGCCATAAAAGAAGCCTGGGATGATGTCCCCAAAACTAAAGGAAGACTGTAAAGCAGTGACTCTGAAGAAGATTTGGGGGACATGGTGGATAATCAGCTGAACATGAGCTCCCAGTGTGATGCTGTGGTCAAAAGAGCTAATGTATCCTGTGATGCATAAACAGGGGAATCTTAAGTAGAAGTATAAAGGTCATTTTACCTCTGTATTTGGCACTGGTGCAACCATTGCTGGAATACAGTGGTCCAGTTCTGGTGCCCACAATTCAAGAAGGATGTTGATAAATTAGAGAGGGTTGAGAGAAGAGCCACATGAATGAATAATGAATTAGAAAACATGCCTTATAATAACAGACTCAAAGTGCTCAATCTATTTAGCTTAAAGCGAAGGTTAAGGAGTGACTTGATTACAGTCTATAAGTCCCTACCTGGGGAACAAATATTTGATAATGGGCTCTTCAATCTAGCAGAGAATGGTATAACCCATGGCTGCAAGTTGAAGCTAGACAAATTCAGACTGGAAATAAGGCATAGATTTTTAACGGTGAGAGTAATTCACTATTGAAACTATTTACCACGAGTTGTGGTGGTCTCCAGCACTGACAACTTTTTAATTCAAGATGGGATGTTTTTTCTAAAAGATATATTCTAGGAATTATTTTGGGGGAAGTTGTATGGCCTGTGTTAGACAGAAGGTCTGACTAAATGATCACAATGGTCCCTTCTTGCCTTGGAATATATGAAAATACTTAGAAAAGAACCTGACTCAACAGGTTTTGTGGGTTGTTTCAAACCCTCTTGCTGGAATTGGAATGGAGGGCACTCAGCAAATTATATGGAAATTGATTTTGGTATGTGACTCAAACATAGGATTGGAAGGGGTCTCCCAAGTCATTGAGTCCAGTCCATGCTATTGCAGGCAACTCCATCATATAATCCCATTCATAAACTTAGTAAAGCTCCATTTTACAACTAGTTAGGTTATTCATCTCCACTATTCTTATTAGGAGGTTGTTCCAGAACCACACTCCATTGATGGTTAGAAATCGTCTTCTAATTTCTACCCTGAATTTGTTCATGGCCAGTTCATTCCCATTTGTTCTTGTGCCAACATTGTCCTTTAACTTAAATAGCTTTTCACAGTCCCTGGTGTTTACCCCCCTGATGTATTTATAGAAAGCCATCATGCCCCCACTCAGCCTTTGTTTTGCTAGGCTAAACAAACCAACCTCTCTTAGTCTCCTTGAGTGAAACAGGCCCTCCATTTCCTTGATCATCCTTTGTTTTACATCATTTGTAAACAAAAATATCACAAAGTGGGCATACTCAAAACAGGGCATATTTT